ACACACTTTATTTACGCACTATGCACCATGTGCATTCACCGAGATGGGAACACAGGGTACACTTGGAGAGTCTGTGTGAAAAGGTGTTTCTCTTACATGTCTGCAAACATAAAGTGATTCAAAGTAATCTTTCGTAAAAGTCTAAATCCAACAATAAGATCATGAGATCCCGTGAAGTAGATATCTGATGAAGTTATTGGAAACAAAGTTAGTTATACTTACATTAGTAGATGTTATGCAATGACAATTTGGATTTAAAGCCTACTCAACAAAAAAGGGAATCATGCCTGGTACTGGAAATGTAGTCAACTACTCAGGGTTACATAAATCATAGTTCTCTGAGGAGAGTCTAAACTGCAACTTTACTGAATAGCATAATCTATTACTTCATTATTACTTCATTCTAAATATTTATCCTTTTCCATAGAGCTAGTTGATGCTATCTCCACTCATTAAGAAAAAATTTGTTTGCAACATAAATTAAGTTAAAGTAAAAGAGGCAATGAATTTTAAGCAGAGAAGGGGTCTATGAAGGAGGGTTTTTAGGAGAAATGATGAAATTATAATATAAACTTTAGAAATAAAAATGTTAAAAATTATAATGGAAACTAAACTTTAGTTTGTTTATTTTATAAGATAGGCATAGTTATAATACAAACTGCTTGGGATATAGCTCAGTAGGCATGTATAAAACTCTGGAATCATTTTGTCACAGCAGAAATATCCCCTGTGATAGTGTATTCCTATGATCTCAAAAATCAGAGGGGGTGCACAATATTCTGAAGTCAAAGACAATCCTTCTCCTTATAGCAACATTAAGGTAAGCCTAGGATTTCTGCTGTGGTGATCCTCTACATATAATAAAAATATAACTCTAGAGATAATTGTACAATGAATATTACAAGAAGAGATTTCCACACACAGGAAACCAGACTTCACCTTCCCTCTGCACCTGCTGCACAGGCTGTCTTTTCAGTGTGTGCTCCACAGTACTCAAAAGACTTGGCATCTTTTTCAACCCTTAGCATCTAAGAAGGCATTGACACTGCACTCACCAGAATGCTTCCTTTGGATCATTTGTTTTGCCTCCTCTCTGCTTTCCTTCCTCTTGCCCAGTCATAAACAGTCCATAATCATGTATAATTACTGCAGTTTACAGTAAATTTGAAATGTTAAGAAAATATAAAAGTATTAAATTCAGTGTGCATGACAATTGCCTTGCAGTGCATTTCACAACCTGGATGTAAGCTGCTTCCTCCTTCCTTGTGATGAGCTGAAGCCCCAGATACTCTGAGTCTGAGAAAATTCAAGGTCTCCTATTGCTTCTATCAGAAAAATTTTGGAGGAATAAAAATCCAACACTAATGGTTAATAATATACACACAATATACTATTTCATATATAGATGAAGTTTTTAAGCAATAAACATGAGGAAATCATGGTATTCATGGAAAAATTGAAAGAATTATAGATCATCAAGTTTTTTGATGTAAGACAGTGTCACAATAGGTATCATGAATTTTTTCTTGCATAGCATACTTTTTGAAAAAGAAGACATAGATGTACACATGAGAATATTTGGATGTATTAGGAGAAGAAAAACAGATAAGAGATAACAGATAAGAAAGGATGATATAGAAGCACTCATGATTTCAAAGTATAGTAAATACACAATACTGGAAATGTCACAATTAAGCCTCAAACTATGCTTGATTAATGTATGCTAATGAAAGTGAAACATATATTATAATATTTTTCAGCTAAACTATGACAAATACATCCATAGGCATCAAACATGGCTCATAATAGAAACCCCATATGTACAAACTCATCACAGCTCTGCTCACTATGTATTAGTTGTAAAGCCTAGCATGCTATCAGTAACTGATGGATGGTGAAAGAAAATGTGATCAATATGCATGATCAAATTTTTATACCAAAAGCAGATTAAAATCTTTACAGTTCTACAAAAGTATTTAATTGGTTATCTACATATTAAGGAAAATAACCCAGCTTCTAAAAGACAATACTGCAGTATCATCACATGTATCAGACTAAGCAAGAACTAGAATATGGCATTTAAGTGGAGTCTATCAGGAATACCAACAAGGAAAATGGCAAGGAAAGGGAGATTTCAAAGGTTATGAAAGAAAATATGTGACCAAAGTAAGTTATACGTGTATGAAAGCATAAGAAATTCACTGATTTGTAAGGAAGATATATGACTATATGAGAAGAAAACTATAGCATCATAATTTATGAATTTGAATGCAAAATCCTCTAAAACATCCTAAGAAATTCCATATATTGTCCCTTCAAACATAATTCACAACAGTCAACAGAGTAATCCCAAAGTTGTAGAGATGATTAAACATGAATGTCAATAAATGTGATACAGTAACATACACAAAATAAAAGTTGATGCCATTTTATAATGATTACAATATACACAATTGAAAGAATTTAATAATACTCATAAATTAGAATAGAAGAAAATATAGCAACTTAAACTGAGGCAGGAAAATTTCCTCAGGGGATAAAATTGCTTCCTACGTAAGTGTAAGGTCCTGAATTTAGGTCCTGTGTAAAGATAGAGTGTAAATCTAGGTGGTGTGTATCTGTAGCCTGGGTGCTTCTATAGAAAATAGCAGGTGAAAAGCAAATACCCAGAAGCCCATGGGTCAGCTACAACATGTGACCCTACCTCAAAGAAGATAGAAAGTCCTCTGACCACAACATGTACTCTGTGGCACATTTTTGCCCACCCTCACGTGGACACAGACACACACATACACATACCATACACACTCAAACACATTAATAACTTAAAATAAAATGACAACAAGCTACAAAACAACAACATAATGAAAAGGCATAACTATATTTCTTCAATCTGGCACAACGTAATTGTCCTCCTTCAAACCAATTTACTGCAGATGGTCCTTGATACTAGTCAGAGCATCAGTCACAAAGGAAGTAAAAGTCATCCAAATTAGAAAACTGAAACAAATTTACCCCTTCAGATGACATGAATTTATAACCTGAAAACAAAGGTTCCATGAAATTAGAACCAATAAACACTGATAATGATGGTAAGATAGACCAGAGCTATATTTCTATAAATCAATATTAGCTGTATTAAAAGAAATCTAGAAAGGAAAAATGAACAAACAACATGTCACCTAACCTCTCACTCTCAAACTGCTGGCCTCCTGTGTATTAACTATTACACACACACACACACACACACACACACACACACACACACACACACACACTTATGCATAAATATATGCATACAACCTACTCAGTTATTTCACTGTTGCATGTACATGTTTTCAGAGCTGAACAATTAGTATTGGAAATCTGAAAATATTTACCCTGCATAAATATCATTATGAGACTATAAACAAATATGCGGGTAACTCAGTCACAAGAAAAGAAAAATTAAAATTTTAAACACAGTAGATAAGAAATTTTTGTAATTGTGTATATTCATAGATATGCAAACAACTTCCATTTTTTGAATCATTATTGAAATGCAAATTAAATACACACAGGAATGTTCATTATACATGTGAGAATAGCGTTTCATAAACAGGAGATAACAAGTGTTGTTGACTATGCACAGATTGGACATTTTGTTAGTTTGTGTGTAGATGAGAATAGTCAGACTGGTATGCACTCTTCAACAAATAAAATGCAGCATCACCATAAATTCTCCCAATCAACTAGCAGGCTATGTATAAGAGACAGTAACATGAGTCAATGTAATGTCTATACCACCAAGTGCAACCACTGCAGGTTTGTTCTAAGGGGCAGAAATAAGAAATGCCCCTCATTCTGAAGTTGAGAATGCTTTGTGGGGTGTGGGAACTAATCAGTTAAAGAGAGGTATTGCTTATGAATATCATCAGAATAAGTTATAGATGTATAAAATGATCAAAGATACAATAAAATAATTAGGAAGGAAATCTTCAGAGTGTTTGTGGAAAAAGGAATGGACAAAGAAAGAATGGACACAGAGAATTTATAAAAATGCTGTTATGTGGCGTTGAGATGAGGAAAATGCTGTCCTGTGAGCAAAAAAAAAAATGTGTCACAAAATGATGGAACTGAACATGGTGAGTACTTCATCCACAGAATATTTTGATTGTTCAGTTCTATACCCACATTAATCACATCTTTTCCATTTTCCAAGACATGATGAAGAGACATACAAGGAATCCGGGAAACTGCTACCACCCATTTCCTAACAGCCTTCCCCAAGTCCCCACAGAGCTGCAGTCTGGGGCTCATCTGGCTGTAAGGCAAGTGGGTCAGGTCTGGGAGGAGATGAGGATTCTTGGTATTCACACATGCAATTGTTAAAAATGAATTAGGAGATTTTTTTCTCTTATTGTGCTCTGTGTTAGAACAAAGGTAAGAAGTTTCTCTAGATGAACAAAACAAAACTGGAGTTTTGATGATGAAATTTAAAGACTAAGTAGCTGAGTCCAGTAAAAGTACAAATGCACAGTTCTCAGGGAAAACAGAGGGATGTGAGACCGTTAGGGTGCACGAGTCACTGAGTGTAGTAGCCTCACCTCTCCATGGATCCTCTAATCCCAAACACTGTCCTAATTGGAATACCACTGAGGCTTTGCCCTTAATCTCATGAGGGAAAAACATCACTGATACTGTGGACCTTCCTAAACATTTGATCTCGGCAACCTCAGTGGAGTCATTTCTACTCCCAGTGGTGATTTAAGGCACTCAGTTCATGTTAGACAGTGGTATATATATTTTATATTATGGCAAACAGAACCCTGTTTTCACAGTTTCACAGAACATAAATGTACAGAGCATCCTGAGAAATCATTAGTTGGAGTGACAACTGAGTTCCAAGAAACCAGCACTCTATTATGTCTGCACCTGTTCCCACAATGTCCCTGGTTCCATGTGTGCTGTGCACCCCCTGTTGGTTCTTAGCACTCCAACAGGGAGGTTTGTTACTGGGTTCACACTGAAGATCGTTCACTGTGTCTTGCACAGTAATAAATGGCGATGTCTTTGGCTCTTAACCTGCTCATTTGCAGGTAGACGCTGCTTTTGGAATCATCTCTTGAGACGGTGAATCTGCCTTTCACAGACTCCGCATAGTATGTTGCACAATTATTAGCTTTGTTTCTAGTTTCAGCAACCCACTCCAGCCCCTTCCCTGGAGACTGGTGGAACCAATTCATGAAATAGCTACTGAAAGTAAATCCAGAGGCTGCACAAGAGAGTTTTAGGAAATTTCCAGGCTGTGCCAAGCCTCCCCCAAACTCCACCAGCTGCACCTCACACTGGACACCTGAAAACAGAGAATCCTTTCATCAGTTAACTGCCACACATGTCCACTGTCCCTCTCATTCATGTCCACTCACACACTGAGTATCTTTTTTTTTATCTATAAGTTACCTTTTAAAAGGGTAACAAGGAAAACCAAGCTCAACTTGGTTAGATGTTCTCAACTCCATGTTAGATGTTCTGGGCTCAGTAATGGTCACAGAATGAGAGGACCTGTGAATCCAGATCTGGGTGCCTCTGTCAGAGCTGTAGGGTCAGGGCTGGTTTTCATGAGCAGAGGTGAACCTTATTTGCAAGTCTTCCTGCTATATCATGAAGTCAGGGGTAGGAGCCTTAGAGGAGATGCAATAAAGGCCAAAGTCAATTTATAGCATCAAAGTATCACTTATTGTCCTTTTCATTGTCACTAATGGGACACAGCTCAGTTGATAAGAGTACTGTTTTTCATGCCGGAAGTGTTCATGTGTTCATCCTCAGCACTGAATGACAGGCAAGAGATGGGAGCAGGAGAATCACAGGTTTGAGTTCTGATTGGGCTACATGAGTTGTGTCTGAAAAAGGAAAAGAGAAGGAAGGAAGGAAGGAAGGAAGGAAGGAAGGAAGGAAGGAAGGAAGGAAGGAAGGAAGGAAGGAAGGAAGTCAAAAGAAGGAATGAAGTGGGTGGTAATGCCTTAGCCATATGTGTGTTGTTAGGCCCAAGGGCCTCTTCCATCCTTGTCAAGGGGAGTGCTAACCTTCTCTCCTTTCTTTCTTTTTTTAGAAAGAGATACCTTGATAGAGACATTATGGGGTAAGGGAGAAACCTGGTCCTAGGGAAATTCCCAGGAACCCACAAGGATGACCCCAGACTAGACTACTAGCAATAATAATGAGGGGACCTGAACTGGCCTACCCTGGCAATCCGTGAATACCCTAACTATCATCATAGAGCCTTCATCCAGTAACTGATGGAAGCAGATGCAAAGATCTACAACCAAGCACCAGGCCAAGCTGTGGGAGACATTCTCTGCTTTCAACCCTCTCCATAAGCAAGACAGTTGTGTAGATTGGTCTGTTTAAGGGCTCCCCTGGCAGTGGGAATAGGATCTATCCCTGGTGCATGTGCGGGCTTTTTGGAGCCCATAGTCCCACCTTGCACAGCCTTGATGCAGGAGAGGGGTTTGGACCTGCTTCAACTGAATGTACCAGGCTTTGCTAATTCCCCATGGGAAGCCACACCTTTATTATTCTTTGTACATGTAAACTCCTCTGATGTCTTAGCAGAACTTATACAATAAATTAATAGAAAATTAAAAGAAGAAAAACTAAAATATGACAATTTAAGCAATGTTATATAAGGTTATGTCTATAGTGAATTCATACCTAAAACTAAATTACAAAATGTGGATGAAGCGGTAATAGCTCAGTACAGCAGGCAAAAAGAATAAAAAGTGATTCTCAAAAAATAAAAGAACTATAATAGAGATATAACTACTATCTGAGTTTGTTCTTTAGTCAATAATTAAAACACACTGAAGACCTGTGTTTACCATTTAGAACCTCCAGGACTGACCTACCCCATCCAACATGCAGGCCTTCGCCTGCCCATCCCAAAGGAACTCCCAGCTCTTCTGTGACTTCCCTAAGACACCAGATAGGCTCATTTCTTTCCCTGCCCCATTCTTCTGCTCTCCAGATCCTCAAGGAGTTGTCTTTCTCTCCCCAGGAGCTAGGTCTGCTCTTACAGAAAAGTACCACATGGCCCTTTAGAGACTTCCCCCTCCCTGCTCCACTAGGAAGTGCAGCCCCTTCTTCCCTACAGCCTGCTCTCTTCCTGTGACATCCCTCCCCTTCACATCGTATTGTCTTTGCTCTTTCCCACATCGTAAGTGGCCGTGCTTCTCTCCAATGCTGAGTAGACATTGCTATTTCTTACACAATAGGTCTCCCCCTTTTCAAGATTCTTGCAACCAAGTGTTACCAGACGGCCTGGCATTAGAGAATCTTCCATCTCCATTCCTCCTTTAGCAGAACAGTAGTATTTGGTTCTCCCATAGTCTACCTAGTCTCGGGTTCCTTTTTTTATTTTGTTTTTTTTTCCTTTTATTTTACTTTACAATACCATTCAGTTCTACATATCAGCCACGGATTCCCTTTTTCTCTCCCCTCCTGTCCCCCTCCCCTTCCCCCCAAGCCCACTCCCCATTCCCACCTCCTCCAGGGCAAAGCCTCCCCCGAGGACTGAGATCGACCTGGTAGACTCAGTCCAGGCAGGTCCAGTCCCCTCTTCCCAGGTTAAGCCAAGCGTCCCTGCAAAAGTCCCAGGTTTCAAACAGCCAACTCATGCAATGAGCACAGGACCTGGTACCACTGCCTAAATGCCTTCCAAACAGATCAAGCCAATCAACTGTCTCACCTATTCAGAGGGCCTGCTCCAGTTGGGGGCACCTCAGCCTTTGGTTCATAGTTCATGTGTTTCCATTTGTTTGGCTATTTGTCCCTATGCTTTATCCAACCTTGGTTTCAACAATTCTCACTCATATAAACCCTCCCCTTTCTCAATAATTAGACTCCAGGAGCTCCACCAGGGGCCTAGCCGTGGATCTCTGCATCCAGATTCCTCAGTCCTTGGATGGGGTTTCTGGCACAACTATTAGGGTGTTTGGCCATCCCATCACCAGAGTAGGTCAGTTCCGGCTGTCTCTCGACCATTGCCAGCAGTCTATTGTGGGGGTATCTTTATGGATTTCTGTGGGCCTCTTTAGCACTTTGTTTCTTCCTTTTCTCATGTGGTCTTCAGGTTCTTGGGCAACTGAGCTCTGCTGGGAATGGATCCAATCTTAGGTGGTCAGTCAGAATTACAACCAGATATTGGTTGGTTGCTCTGACAAAAGATACTGTGCATGCTACCAAAGGAGAAATGTAAACAGCTACCCAACTACAACCCCTTTGACCTACAATGATGACCTGCCTGAAAGACACAAATATATTTTCTAAGTGTGTTAGAAAACTTATCCTTATACGCTCATATAAAAGCTTCCACTCCCTCCTCAAAGAAGCTTTTTTTTAAAGATTTATTTATTTATTTATTTATTTATTTATTTATTTATTTATTTATTAATTATACAGTGTTCTGTCTGCACACACCCCTGCAGGCCAGAAGAGGGCACCAGATCTCACTACAGATGGTTGTGAGCCACCATGTGGTTGCTGGGAATTGAACTCAGGACCTTTGGAAGAATAAGCAGTGCTCTTAACCTCTGAGCCATCTCTCCAGCCCCCAGAAGCTTTTGTTTTTTAATTGCAGATGGAGACTATTACAGAGATCCAGATCAGATGAACATGCAGAGAACAAGTGACCCTGGGATGCCCAAATACTGTTGCTACATCTTCAATGCAAACCCTTCACCTAAGGCTCAGTGAAAATCCTGGAAGAGGGGACAGGAAGATTGTAAGATCTACAGAACTAGGATGTCACTGTGAGAAGGTATCTTATAAACAGGACAGAGATGCTGTAACCATGAAATCTTGACAATACTGTTGCTTAAACTAGATGTCCAGAGTGTAGGGGTAACTTCTCAGTTACCCACCCTTAAATAAAGAGCTTTAGGTAATCAATGACTGCTGAGAGAGGGAGAACCTGCTTTCTCCAAGAACAAGCTCCCTAATAGGTTATTCAATCCCAATGGTCAGCTCTAAACACATGTACATATACATGACATTAACTGGGCTCAAATGTTACACATACAGAGAAAAACATACACACATGTAAAAGTATTAGTTAAATGTGAAGAAGTAATGAACTTTAGATGGAGTGAGGGATGGATACAAGTGTGGATATTGATGGGTACAGTACTCAGGTAAAAAAAATTCAGAAAAAAAGCCATTTTAATTAAATTTTTTAGAAATCAGCAAGGTAATCTCAGCGCAGAGCCGATGCTATGGTGAGTGGCCTGGGTGCAGTGTTCATCACTGAATGAGAAGACTTGGGAATCCAGTGCTGGGCTCCTCTGCAGGAGCTGCAGGCTCAGGGATGGGCTGGTTTTCAAGAGCACAGGGAGGCCTTGTATGCATTCCCTGCTGTTCTATTATGAACTCTGCATTGGGTGGATTAGACATGTGAATGCCTAGAGTAGATGAAGGAGACAAAACTAAGTAATAGCAAAAAAAATTAAAGAATTATCGACTATGCATTTGTGATATAATTCAAAGTCCCACCTTATCATGTTTTTTAACATAGTCACCCCATACCTTATGTGCTCCACAGAGAACATCATAATCCAATGTTGATAATTTTAGACAGAGTAACAAAGCTTATGAATGTTGAATCCAGATATTAAACTGAAGAAATTGGTTTCATAGATGAAGCTTGGTGCTGATTCAATTGTTGATTGAAAACAACAGGTGTGTGATTCCCAGTGTTGAAAAATAAAGCTGCACAAATTCTACAGACTGTATTTCTGTGTAAATAATGTTTTAAATTTTTGAACTTTTGTGTTTGTATTTATAGTTTATCTGCTGTGGGCTGTGTTTCATGTAGCCCTCCTGTAATACAGGAACCATGCCTTGCATACCCAAAGACAGACAGAAATCTAGACACTGCATTCTAGGGCCCCGCTTTCATGTCCTCCCATGCCTCCATTCCTGCCTCTTCCCCAGGACACGTCACTCTATACTGATTTGGGGTGAGACTCAGAATGAAGAGCCATGAAAACTGCCTCCCATGAGAAAAGATGATTAGGTCTGAGTTTTTAATCGAGCAATTCTTTCTTTAATGAGATAAACTGTCTTCAGGGTGAGTTGAGAAGGCCTTCAAATTGTATCATTTCTGTTTCTTCAGGATTCCCAGGAGAGTGGCATATATTTGAGGAACTAACTAACTAACTAACTCTGTCAGATCTTGTATCTTTTAAGGAAAGGGTTCTAGCTGACATAGGATAAGGTCTCCTGGAAGTGGAGATGAGGCTGAACAGGGAGGAGTTTTGTTTTCTGACTCCACAATAATTTCATTTCCCAACAGTGTATCCTGTTTTCTGAGTCTTGGAAACTCTAGTGCCAGTAAGTATCAGCTTGTAGTAGAACAGTCAGAGACAGCTCAGGTGAAGACAGTCCATGTGATGAGTTTAGCAGGCCAGGTCCAAATGCCTTGACAGTCACCACACTGAAAACTAATCAAGGACCCATGGGTGACAGACAGGAATCCTGACTTTGGGAAGCTGAAATAGAAAAAAAAAACACATTTGTCTCTATCCTAGTTGCTCAGCCCCCTATGAGCAGAGACCTGTGCACTTCCCTCTACCAAGAATGCATTTCACCATCGTGAGAATGGAATATTTGAGTTTTGAGACCTCTATATTTACAAACAAAGATTCCAGAGCTCAGGTTCTCCTGAGTCCTCCATGAGGTCTGCTAGAAATGTCTTCATAAACTCACACAGAGTGTAAATCTGTGATTCAATATCATTTACTCTATGATACATAAAATACACTATTTAATATGAAATAATGCTACTGATATTCAGATTTTACCAAATGAAAATTTGAAATGGATATTTTTATACCAAAAATAATGTTATTGCTTAAAACAAACAAGAAAATGAAATTTATGTTCTTCCTTGAATCCCCAGTACAAAGTACTTCAAAATATATTTTTAGGGAGTACTGTGATTTACATAGCACCCCTGAATGATAACTATGCAGTATTAGCTCTCATAGGCTTGAACTCAGAGTGAAAGGAATCTTTTGCTTCTTCTGAGAAGAAAGTATAGTAGAATCTGTGATTTGAAAGAAAATTTTCCACAGCATATCTCAGTTTCAGGGATTCACTTTTTGATCTTTCAGACATTCAGAACTCTTTCTGGAGATCTCTCCCACATGCAGTATGAGGTGCTGGATACTTTAAAATGACTCACCCCACAGATATCAGACATGTCCTTGAATCAAGGTATTACACTCACTTGACAGATGCCTCCCCAGTTCATTGGAGAGTCCCATTCAATGCAGAAGCCTGAAGTAGAAGATTCTCCTGCCTCCTAATAAATCCCTGCTTTCCAGTAGGAGGAAGACAGAAGGATGTTTTATGAAATCACTGGTATTTGAAATAGTGTTCAAAACTCAATATAGGTTTGCATAAACTTTAACATAGAATTTCCCTATTGGTTTCATGCCTGACACAATGTATTCCCCACATGGTTGCATGCATAGTAAGCACATGACATTGATATTTGTCATGGGGGAATGCCTGCTAGAGGAGCATGAAATGTTATTTTTCTGAGATAACAAGTATTCTTATTGAATCAAAACCTTGAGATTACCAAATATTCACATTTTCCATGCTGGATGTTATTCACATATTTATCCAAAATCCCATGATCTATAGAATTGTCACTGCCAGCTACCCAGTGGAATGTGAGAGAAGATGCTGTATCAGTGTAGGTCCACCTTCTATAAAGACTTTAGAGTGCAGGACAGAGGACTGAGACTGGGAAGGCAGCAAATATACTAGGGAATACTGCATAATGCATAATTTCAGAACGACTGACAATTCACATGTACATATGTTGTGTCAATAAATGAGTTCTATGAAAAATGTTTTAATTGTACTTTTAATCAGCTTATAGGAATTATACTTTTGTGGTAATACATTATGATAAAAACATCTCTTACACTCTAAGAGACTGAAACTTTTCTGGACCACACAGCCAGAATGAACAATACACTTTGAAATTCTTCAGAGTGAAATCATTATTATACACTCATACTGGTTGTTTAAGCTGCCTTTAACAGAATATTGTAACACCCAACACTAATTGTCTAGGATTTCCCTTGTATTCAACTTTTACAAAATGAGATAATGCATACTTCTAACCTTATTTTGTGTGCTCTTCCATCCCTCTGACTGAAGAGTAATTCGTGTGTGTTTCTATGTGTATTATGATAACCATTTGCTGAAACACAAAATATAGGTTTCAATAAATTTCATAAGTATCGAGAATAGTTGAAAATACCATGCAGATAT